ATACCTAATTCCACGAAGTTTACACGATCCCAACCTTAATTGTCCCACGATTATCGCGACCAAGGACGGTGTTACGCGCAATATGTATTATACACAGATTGTTTTAATTCGATTGATCGGCGAACGGGTATGGAATAAGGTTTATGAATGCTGCTGGCATTGTTGCCGTGGGTGGGTACACCGAATATGGCCGCGAGTTGGAAGATGAGTGTGGCCGATCGAGACGATGCCCGGCGAATAAGGACGTGACGTAGTTATATCCTCGCGTATAAGGAAAAGCGGATTCGCTGTTAATAGTCAATATGCATTAGAGAAACAATGAGCGGATCTTCGTGCCGCACACGACGACAGACCGCGGGAGGATGTTGGCCGGAGGAGGCGATCCGGCTCGCGGACACCTTCTGGAAATTTTTTTTACGACCGGGACGACTCATCGCGGTGTCCTTCGACGGGGAAGCACTCCTTCCTTCGAAACGTTTCGATCGATCTGTCAACGTGGTATCGGTTGTTTTGTTTCAACCCGTTTGTCGCGCGATCAAGTGTCAAAAATAAGTTGCAAATAATGATGAGTTTTTGATAAGATTTATGAATGTAATGGGGGGTCTAGGAAGGATCTAGGAGATTTCAACCCTTTCTTTCGTTTGTTGCGAGATTAAGTGTTGGAAGTAATAATAGACGATGGGTTTTCGAATCTTCGATTTACGAATGAGATTTCAACCCTTTCTAATGATATTGTTGGCGCAATTAACTCTCAAAAAGTATAAATAGTGATGAATTTTTGGTCAAATTTTCAATAATTTATAAACGTAATGTAGGTTTAGGAACGAGATTTCAACCCTTTCTTTCGTTTGTTGCGAGATTAAGTCTTGGAAATAATAATAGACGATGGATTTTCGAATTTTCGATTTACGAATGAGATTTCAACCCTTTCTAATGATATTGTTCGTTTGTTGCGCGATTAATCCTCAGAAATTATAAATAATGATGAATTTTTGGTCAAATTTTCAATAATTTATAAACGTAATGTAGGTTTAGGAACGAAATTTCAACCCTTTCTTTCGTTTGTTGCGAAATTAAGTCTTCAACCCTCGATTAACCCTCAGAAATTATAAATAATGAACGAGATTTCAACCCTTTCTTTCGTTTGTTGCGCGATTAAGTCTTGGAAATAATAATAGACGATGGGTTTTCGAATCTTCGATTTACGAATGAGATTTCAATCCATTAATCCTCGATTAACCCTTATAAATAATGATGAATAAACCTAATGTTAATGTAAATTAACGGAGGATCTAGGAACGAGATTTCAACCCTTTTCAACTTTCTTTCGTTTATTGCAAGATCAAGTCTCAGAAATTACAAATAACGATGAATTTTCGGTATAATTCTCGATTTATAAATAAATAACATGGGTTTAGGAACGAGATTTCAATCCTTTTCAGGAAATAATAATTTTCGATCGATGTTTTCGATTCATTTATTGAATCGATGATTACATTTCAGAAATTGTAAGATGATAAAAATAAGAATTAATTAATTTTAATTATTGATTAATAATGGATAATTGTATAGATTTACAGTCAAATCTCAATCGATGAATGTAATGAATAAGTATTTAAGAATGACTCTTTTTCAGTGATATGATTAACTCGTTGCATCAATTACAGTAATTAATTTGTTATATAAAATGATGTGTATAAAGTGATCAATGGATTTATATCGAAAACTTTCGAGTATGCACTTGAGAGATGAGATAGATTCGAACACTTTGTAAGGAAATGAACAGAACAGTATAATATATACTTTCAATTATAATCAAAAATCTTAATCAAATATCAAAATTTTATGAACATATATTTGCTCATATAAAGATTCTTATTGGATAATTTCTTCCTCGTAAAATTCTCGAGAATTATTATATTAAATTTCGCTACGATTATTTAAATGATTCATATTACATTTATTATTTCATTACAGATATTCCTTAAGTATAATTAAACATCCCAAATTTGAAATGACTTCCCTCGACATGCTCAAATCCTTCAAGGATCAACGATAAAAAGGAATATAAAGATGAATAAGAATCGGGCGTCGAAATTTCACACGATTGTTAATCGATTTTATAATCGTATTTTTTCTTAGAGAAAAGAAAAACTGTTTGTTTACTTAAGAAGAAAAAAAATAGCAAATAATAATTACTGTAAAAATTACATTATTAATGTTTGATCAAGATATCGATCATCGATAACTGATATCTTAATGTTACTAGTGATTTCATGACGTCAATTCGTTAAAAATATGATTTATAAATCATATATTTGCAAAAGCAACAACAACAAGTCTAAAATAAAACTAAAAAAAAAAAACAGACGTGCAAATATTTTTAATTTATCATAAATTTCAATATAATGTACATGCATTTTATTAAAACAAACAAACCATCACTTTTTTTCCCCCTCTAATACAAAATTCTCACAAGATATTTCCTTATCTTGTCCCAAGATATATTTTAACATCGTTTCATCGAATTCTGATACGCATAACACGCGCAATTTCATTTTAACCCGAATAAGAGAAGAGGATCGAAACAAGCAAGGAATTCAATTCAATAATTCAAATAATTCATTATAATATTATAATAATTTAAATCAAAATATTCCTAACCTTCCTCTTACTCGAATCTCATAAATCACGAATCTATAAATGCAACAACGTTTAATCGAAAGAAAATTAAGATCCAAATAACAAATGTCGACCCGACTCGAGGATTAAACGAGGAATCTATCTAAGCGAACAAGTGCATTCGAATTCGAATCGATTCTTATCGTTTGTTTAGTAACTCTTACACGTGTCGTCTTATCGCCTCCAAAGATAAAGATTAACATTGAACGCTGTATAACGAAATAAAGAAATGCAATCGAGATAATAATCCTTAACTCTTCCCCCATTGCAGCGAAGGAAGAAACAACTCCAGGAAGTTGTCGAGGCGATCGAGAAGGGGGAAAAAAAAAAAAAAAAAAAAAAAGAAAAAAGAAAAAAAAAATGGTAGAAAAAGGCGTACGGTAGAAGAGGTACAGGAAGAGGGTACATCGAGGAACCCGTGGAGGAATAAAAGATGCGAGAGATGTCTCTTTGGTAGACAGTAAAAAAAAAAAAAAAGAAGAAGAAGAAGAAGAAGAAGAAGAAGAAGAAGGAAGGGAAGAGAGGAGATAATTGTCCGACGAGGGGGGCATTGAAACGGAATTATCGAGAGGGCGGAGAATCAAAGAGCGAGATGGAGCGAGGGAGGAGGGGGAGGAGAGGGGCGAGAAAAGCGAGCCGTGTATACAGAGAGGCACGGGAAAGGCTAAGTAGGGAGGGGGAGGGAGGGAGGGCAGATTTATCGGCAGAAAGGGGAGAAAATGGAGAACCGACGGGAGAGGAGACGATGGTGTACGGAGAAATCGAAGAGATGAAGGGAGACGTTCCTGGTAGCAGTGGAGGAACGAAATTTGAAACGATAAATCGCAATGTAAGATAAGGACGAGACGAGTGAGTGGCCGTGTAAACCGTGAGAAACGGAATATATATTCAAATATATTGGAGATGCAAAGAAAGATATAAATAGATATAAAGGAATGTAGAATGGAAATAGTAAAAGGAAGAAAATTATGGAATATGAATAAAGAGGGGAAATATATACGATTTGAAGGAAAGAAAAAACAGAATGACTTCTCAAAAGAAAATATATGATAATAAAAAAAGTAAGTGAGAAAATTTATACGTAAAATTTCTATATGTGATGCTGTATTTAATTAAAATCCTGCTCCTTCTATTTTTTTTTTTTTAAATCTAGATCCTCGAATTAATAATAATATTAGCGTACAACGCGAGTTAATAATAATTCGATGGAATAGAACAGCAAAAGATGAATTTTGATCAACTTTACATCTTTCTCAAGCTTTCGAAAATTTCATTATAATAACAGTTACATCAATTGTGCAAGACTTGTGCAACACCCGTTACATTAACTTCAACTATATCTCCCTTCGAGGCAAAATGGAATTTGTTTCACGCGAGAAGAAAATTTCTTTTTTAACAAGGAAACTCAAATTCGAAGTGAACGTGAAGTAAAAAAAAAAAAAAAAAAAAGAAAAGAAAAAAAAACGATTGTTCCAAAAATAGCAGGGCCGGAGAAACTCTTACACAACAAGAGCACCTAAAAATACGTATACATACGATAGAAAGCAATCGTTTCTCCGAATAAAGATGCAAAGGAATGAAAGATGACGAGAGAAGGAAGAAGCGTTGTTGGTTGGTGGTGAAAGAGAAGGCAGGGCAGGCATATTTTCGAATGCGTATCACGGATCGCTACGAAATCTCGGATTCTATTAACGGAGAAATTATAACGGATTGACGGACGCAGGGAATGGATGCAAAGACGGATGGACGGAGAGCCGCGAAAGATTTCTCTTGAATCGTAAATACCGATCAGTCGCTTTACCGGTTAGGGCCCACGTTGCATTTTAAACCACTTCCCGGTGCATTCGCGAATTGTGGCCAGAGCAACGTGATGGACAAACGGGAGGAGATTGTCGTCGTCGAGGTGGAGAAAAGAAGAGATTTTACGAGGCAATATGGACGTGGGGGAAATACGTTTGAACGTCGCCTCGTTTTCGGATCAAGAGCAATAAAGGAAAGTCTCGTTTGAGATTAAAAGGAAGGTAAATCTAACATAAGATTCTGTCGTTTTCGATAGATAATATGGTGGTACAAATGATTTTTTATAGTTTTATAATTATAACATATATGGCATAAGTAATTCTCAATATTTCTAAATATATTTTATATATTTGGGATTGAATTCACGTTCCTTTAAATGAATTTTTATATAACAATAGGACATAAGTGTGTCCTATGAGCTTTGATCCGCATAATGTATCGAGGCATGCATTTCAATTAAGCGTAAAGCAATTGTAATTGAAGCTTGAAAGCAGAGAGAAAGAAAAAATTCGACTCACCATGTATAGCGTGCGTTGATATTTCTATAACTTTTTCTTTTTCTTCTGTAACCTCTTCCTCTATTCTCTTCTCTTCGTCTCTCATTCTGCAAATTATTAAAGGATCGTTAAAAATTAATTGTTGAAACATCGTCTAGAATGCAATGTATATTTTTAAAAGTATTGTTATTTATTTGCATTGTAAATACAATGTAAAAAAAGAACGAGTAATTAATGATTTTACGAGATATTGGTAATTTTTTTTAGATGAAGCGAATCTATTCGTTCGAATTCTATGACGAAAAAAAAAAAAGAAAATTGAAGAACATTGAAGATTGACAGACGTCTCGCAAACATGAGATCAGTAATTTGGCGTGCCAAACAACGGTAAATTTAAGAACAAATTTTATTTTGTTATAAAAATGAAAATTTTTTAAGGTTCGTAAATTATAAAATCATTAGCTATTAACTTCCAGATATAACTAAGAAACGTAATCGATCATTCCCTTTTTATCTCTCCTTTAGGTTCAAAGAATCATGTGTTTGGTTAATTACAATTTTGTAATCAGATGCTATCTTTGACAATAATAAATTATCTTCGATACCATCACCAGTTACTGTTATTAAATACCTATTTCAATGTTATATTGAATATAAATCGTCGTTTTTTATGGAAGATATGATTGGGTTACTTTCAACAATTAAAGATCAATCACATGAAAATTTTAACAATAAGAATTCTATCCTGATATACAAATAATTTTACGATTATTGGAGTAAAAGTTTGCTAAATGGTCGTTCTACGAACAAAGTTTATAGGAAATAATAGCGCGTACAAGAAGAACGCGCTTCGATATCCTTTCACGATGTACGAACAGAAAAATGTTGTATACACAAAGAAAAATTCACATATTTATGACAATAAAAACTTCAATCCAGATGGTATTTATGAAAAAAGAAAAACTAATGCAATGATTGCAATTTTTTAAAATAAATTTCTTAACCTATTTTTTCCCCTAGATATTACTACAGTTTATAAACATCCGGATGTTACTTATATCTGCGAATATATAAAAGACAAATTCTATTTTACGACGTTATGCAACGGTCGAAAAGAAGTGAAAAGCACATCTCATATCCACTTTTTTACAATCGATGACGAGCTAGTTTATAATAATTTCTATCATGACTTTGGTCCCTTAAATCTTGCTTGTTTATACAAGTAACAATTTTAAATATTTGTACACTTTCAGAATTTAATAATTATCCCTTCTTTTATTAATAATTTCTTAAAGATTATTCTTTATATATATATATTACTAACAGATATTGCCATAAGGTAAACAAAAAACTAGAGAGTCCAGGAAATGAGCACAGACAAATTGTGCACTATACTTCGCAACGAGAGCACAAAAGAGCAAATGCCGCGTATTTAGTTGCCTCTTTTGCAGTATTATATTTGAACAAGAGTCCAAGAGAAGCTTACAATACTCTTTTCATGGGAGGCGAAATTCCTATAAAGCCGTTTCGAGATGCCTCTATGGGATCAGCCATTTATAGCATTCATTTGTTAGGTGATATAATTTAATCATTAATAATTTATCAAAATTAAACTGAAATATTAATTTAATGTCTTTAATGAATAATCGTATATAACTGTATAATTATATTATTTAATTATTTTGATAAAAATAGATTGCTTAAATGCGCTTAAGAAAGCAGCATCTTTTGGCTTTTTTAATTTTAACGATTTTGATGTGGTTGAATATGAAAAATACGAAGACATGAGAAATGGTGCTTTGAATTGGATGGTACCGCAAAAGTTTCTGGCTTTTGTTGGTCCAAGCACGGAACCAGGTACTCCCTATCATCCTCCTGAATGTTACATCGATTATTTTTTACAAAATGAAGTTACTGCCGTAGTTAGATTGAATAAGAAAGCGTACAATGCATCAAGGTAAAATATAAAAAATCTATTTAGAGTTTTTTAATATCTTCAATTTCTAAGGAAATAATATAAATAATAATTGCTAAAGAAATAATATTACTCTTTTGAATTTTTGAAAACTCTTAAATGATACTTTTATATAATTAATTAATTTGAAATATAGAACTGATATAATGTTTCAAAAATAGATTCACCGAGGTAGGAATCACGCATTATGATATGTTTATGCCAGACGGCACGGTACCACCAAAAAGAATTTTGAATGAATTTTTGAACTTAAGCGAAAATACTAGTGGACCTATCGCAGTTCATTGCAAAGTAACTTATTAATTTAAGTAATTTTATTTAACTTTAATTAATTTAAGTAATTTTATTTAAACTATTTTTAATAATATAACTATTTTTAACTTTCTATTTATTTTTTATATTTATTTAGGCTGGACTAGGAAGAACAGGTTCATTAATTGCTGCATTCTTAATAAAACATTATAAAATGACAGCAAGAGAAGCTATTGCTTGGATAAGAATTTGCAGGCCTGGTTCCGTTATAGGACACCAGCAATCTTGGTTAGAAAATATTGAAAAAATTTTGTTGAATGCTGGTCAACAATATAAGTAATTCATATTCTTTATTATATATACATACGTAAATAATATGAAATAAATTTTTTATTATACGCAAAAAAAGAAATTTAAAAAAAAGAAAATTCCTTTTTGTATTATTAATTTTCAATAGAGAACAAAAAAAATTTCATAATTATTGTGTAATATAATATATATAAATAATATATATAAATAAGCAAGTTAAATAATATAAGTAAATACCTGATTTATTAGTGTATTTTTTGCAGATTGAAGTACTATGGTGATGGCGATATAATATTACACCATAAACATGGGATATATTCGCTCGCGGACAAGGCAGAAAGGAAAATATCATACACATCCGAAGGAGAAAATACAGGTGGGAATTTATATCTATTCCTAAAATCAATCAATGAACTTATAAGAAAATAATATTTACAGAACAGTATATTTTATATATTTTATATATATAAAATATATATTATATATATAATATATACTTTAATATATATCATATAAATTTTAATATATACTTTAATATACTTTACATATACTTTATAATATATATTATATATATTATATATATAAAATATATTATAAAGTATTTAAAAAATTAGATATTATTAAATTAGTTAAATTAGATANAGTATAATATCTAAGTATATATTATAATATTAAGTATAATATCTAATTTATAAAGTATATTATAAAATTGTATAAAAAGTAGGGATAGGAACAATAAAATAATTATAAATTTTATTAAAAGTTACTTACATATTTCCATAAAAAATTCTTATTCCAATTCTTCTATTGAAAATGTTGAATAATGTTTGGATTTAACAAGAAAATGCTGATCTGAAAAAGAAAAATGATTTAAGAAAAAAGATATATATATATATATTTTAAATTTTTTAATACATTTTTTTATTATTCTAGGATTTAATAAATATGACAACTCAACCAATGAAAAGAAGGGCAAAACAAAACTTACAAGAATTTTAGGTATTCATCCAATATTTTATAATTTTATTACTTTTATTCTTTTTAATTTGTAATATGTGTATATATGTATATAATATATAATTAATTAAAAATTAATCATAATAAATAATTGACATAATATGCAATATAATTTTCAAAAAGACATACTTTTTTAATTAAAAATAATATTTTTAACTCAATTTATCGTTATTATGACAAAATTTCAACAAATTATTGGAATGCAATTGTAGATGCATTGACCTTGAAATGCTACCACATAATATTTTGTTCTTTTTACACTAAAAATGATATTGATTTATGTTATATATGCATATATACGAACCACAAACGAAGGATGATTGAAATTTTCATTCTGATGAAGTTCTATCTTCAATTTAAATGTAAAACACAATAAAAAATCAAGAAAATGTCAATGCGTGCACAAAACAACAATCGCGCGCCGAAACTAATGTAGAAACTTGCGCGCGCATCTGATCTCGATCACGCACTAATCGATTATAATTTATTTTCGTATAAAAATTTTAATTTTATTAATAATCATTCATATTTTATTAATAATTATGCAAATTAATATATAATTTATTTTTATAAGATATTAATAAAAAACATTTATATTTATATACGAAGATAAATATTATTATTTCTACTTATTGAATAACTTATATCGATATCGATAGTAGTATATTAGATGCGTGCGCATCTAATATAATTAAAAATTCAGCATTGATTCCAAATTAATTTTAAATAAAATCATGTATAATAATGAATAATCCACAAATATAAAAGAAAAATATTAGAACATATTTCATTAAATAATTTATAGTTAATACTTTATGTTTTTTAACAATAAAATAGTTCAAGCTCATTCATGTTGGTGCTAAATCTCATATGTTCAAAAATCTTGCGCGCGCATCAATTTCCAATCTAATTTATAATTTCTAACGTTTTTAACAGTTATGTATAGAATAGTGTATAGGCAATAGTGTTTTTTATTTTTGTGATTTTTGTATCGTTTATTGTTGTTAAATTAAATTTAAATCAAGTAAGTCATTATGAATAATGATAATTTCTATTATATTTAAAAAACAAATCATAAATATCAAGAATAGAAAAGAAATTTAAATTATAAATAACTAACTACGTCATTGAATAAATTTTCATTTTGTATTACGATAGTATTTATGATAAAATAATTTTCTATTTTTTTTTATTTAAAGGAAAATTAAGAAATTTCCGAGGATCGGATGATGCAGATCGAATGTCACAGAAATTCAGAGTTAGCGATTCATATAACATGACACAAGGAGATAGACTCAACGAAATCAAAATGAATAGATTCAAATCATCTCGAAATCCTGAATCACGGCAAAAGAATTATATCGCTTATGGATTAGATGCTTTAAAAAACGCGCGGCGAAGAAAATAAGTAAGTAATTAATATGAAAAAAGAAAAAGTAATTGTTATTTTGCGTTCAAACACGAAACGTTCATTTGTAATTATAATTAAGAATCTATCAATTCAAACATTATATGTATAATAATTTATATCGAAGTATATGCATATAAGGATAAGTAAAGTCAAAACAAATTTCAGAGGAAAAATGATTTATAGAAAATCGTTTTACATAATTTTATAATCCATTCAATACAAAATGATTCGTTTTATATAAACTAAATAGAGAGATTTCTTGAGAAGAATTATTAAAAATAATTATACAGAGAATATAATTTCTAAAAGAGTCCCATTGATATCTTTTTTATCTTTATTTTTCATATTTTTTTATTTTTATTTTTTTTTCTCCAATTTATTATTGTATTATTTATGAATGTTTCAATGAAACTTATTTAGAGAATTCTATATATGCTCTATATATTTAAAAATAATTTTCACGCAAAATAGATAAATGATTAATTAGATAAATGGTCGAATCGACAAAAGAGGAGGTATTTCATCAAAATAGGACTTTGAGAAACAAGAATAGCCATAAGTTTCTAAATTGTATATACGGCTTTGCATCTCTCAAAGCTTTTTATATAATTATGCATCAATTAACACTTTTTTCGATAACATTATCTATTTTACTTTACTTTTACTTTCAAATTGCGAATCTTGATATTGAGATCATATATTATTTTAAATTTAAATTAAAATATTATCTGTGTTTAATAAAGAAAACAAAAATTGATAAAAATTTATTAGAATTTTCAAAACCATGGATCACAAATTTCACCAATTCAGGTAAACAGGAAGAAAAATTGTCACATATCTGTCAAAAGTGTTAATTAAAGTAATCCATCATTCATATTTCGCATTTCATCTTGAACGCTTTTTGTTATTTATATTTTATGATTACTATTCATTACATTACTATCAAAGTTTATATGATACATAAAATATATTCATTTATATACCCTATGATTAGCAGAAAACCGTTTGAAATAGGGTATATGATTGTGCAATTTAACATCAATGTGAAGTCGAATTCATAGAAAAGAATAAAGGAAAATTTTTTCCTTCTGGAATTATAAATTTTATGATAAATTCATGATTTCATATTACACGACTAAAAAGATTAAAGACTAATCGAATTTTGCGAGTACACTTATAATCACAAGTATTATTTAACACAAAATAGTATAAGAAAGTAATTAATTAAATATCCCTTATTTTTTTGTTTGTGTTAATGCAAAGAGTAATTTATTTTATTTCATCGCATTTTGAATTTTCACATATCACAATGATTAGAATTTGATAGATAAAAGCGTAAAAAACAGGCCATAAATTTAATTTCTTCAGTACTGATAAACACCTTTTTTCAGTATTCAATTTTTTGTCAGTTTGATAGATTTAATTCTGATTGAATGAACATGTCATTCTAATACATTATGCCTATTAATTTGTATATCCAGAATATCATTTTTGCGTTATCATTCTATTAGATTTTTCATGCGTTACAAAATTTTGTTTTACCAAAATTAGATGTCTTCTTTACTTGCACTAAGCACATTATTATATTTTATCATATTAGTCATTAGTGATGTTATAATCATTATAGATTCCTCGTTAACTATCAAAATTCTTATTATTTTTGAAACTACTTTCCTTTTTTCTTTTTTTTTTTTTTATTATTGAGTTCAGACATTACATATTAATTGCTCGTACAATTTATAATTCATTTTTTTTTTATTTTTTTTTTTAACTATATTTAAAACTTATAACCAAAAGATAAAAATGGTATATTAAATATGATATTATTGAATATTGCAGACACTTGTACCCCTTAGTTGATCGTCTTTTTGCTTTTTTCGTGTTTTTGTTTCTTTTTTTTTTTTTTTTTTTTTGTTTTGTTTTATTTAATTTCCTTGACTTTAGATATTCCAAGGAAAAAATGTAAAAGTTTGTAAGCAATAATATATGATATTCAAGATGATATCGCTGATTTTCTGAGCTTTATATCGTCATTGCCTTCTTAGTAATCTTTTTTTTTTTCTTACTTTTGAAATCTTTGCGGTTTCAATGTTATATTAATGTTAGGAAAAGAAACTGCATCAGGATTTTGTAAATATTTGCACTCTTGTTAATTCTCTTTGCATTGTACAGTCTTTTTCAAAGTTGTTGATGTTATTATGCAATTTCTAACAGACTTAAAACTTGCCTATTTTTTTTTTTTTGTTTGTTTTGCAAAAAACACCATTCCATCAATTGCTCTTGAAGAGCGGTTTATAATGCACCATATTATTGTATAAATTATCAAGGTCACACCGCTCTGTATAAAGTTACACTCGCAATATGTTGATTTGCCATGACTTCAACAATTGCATCGCGTATACCATAACAAAATGTGCAACCAAATGGATTTGTTGTGTTCGTCGAGGAAGCACGGTTTAATACTACTGGCCGTGCACTAGCCTTCAACTGCTCACTTATTCTATCCCATTTCGTATAGGCAGTGATCTAAAGTAAACAATTTTATTGAAAATATTTAAATATTAAAACATTTATCAAAACACTTATTGATATTTCCATTCGTCAATATAGTTTGTTTAACAAATCTTATTTATATATTTATATCGTACCGTAACTGGAGAAGGGGAAACATCTATGAGTTTTCCCGATTCGGTGGAATTATTTTCTGGTGGAAGAGTTAAAGAAAACTCGCAGCGATGATACATATTAAAATTATAATGCCCTGGATAATTTGTGTGTAATACAAACTTCTTAACACATTGAGTTTTGGCATCAAATAAAACATCCTACGAGCGATAAAATATTTAAATGTATTTTTTGACTTGATTTATTAGATCGTTTACATTAAGAAAATTTTTTACCAATCCTAAAGTAAAATAATTATAGAAGAAATCCGACCGTCTTATTTTATCACGTTTATGTGCATGAGGACTATGAATACGCATTTTATCCTCGGCTTTAAAAAATACACGAGATGGTGCTCCTAAAGCACTTAAAACATCTTCACAAGTATCCCCAAATAACACCTATAATTAGGTATAAAAAAAAGAATAAAGAAAATTGTATTACAACGAATGTAGAAATCATCAATTTTAGTATTACATTACTCATTTTATAAAACAATCATAATGTTTAAAAAAGTTAAAATATACTCTAAAGATATAATATAAATAATATAAAATAAATTATAAAATATAACCTCTTTGGTTAAGCAACGTTTTTTCGGTTCCAATAATACTCTCGTTACAGAGCTACCTTCAGTGAAGAGATGCAATTTAAGACCTCGTGTACGCATTTTGTCACGTATGACATCTGCCTTTTCTAAATACAAATTGTTATGATAGCAGACCTAACAAAATATGCTTATGTAATATCAATCTTATTTTTATATGTGTTATAATATTAACAAAAAATAATTACAAGTGGTAAAGGTGGTGGTGGTGCTTTTAAATTGTGTTCATCACTTCCACCTCCAGCACCCATATTACCCACATAAATAGCTGTTTTTGCTACAAGAGGAGAAGTTCCATTTGGAAATTGCAATGATCCTAATCCATGTGCATATCCAGGTTGGAACTTTGAGTCAATGGGGAAATAAAATGATAATCCTCGAAAATTTAATACAAATACCTATAAAAAAATATATTTTGGTTCCATAAATTTTGATTAAATAGAAATATAAATGGAAATATCATACTTGTTTGTCACTATCATAAACACCAGGATGAGTTGCTCCAAAGGAATGCTCTATCTGTTCAATAGATGGCAAAACCTCTGGTGAATTGAATGGCAAACCACAGTATTTGAGTTTAACTAACTTCATGTTATAAATCTCAATTATTTTGAGCCTTTGCACCACTGGATCGAATATAAGTCGAACTCCATCATGAGGTAAGTTTATTACTAAATCTACATCTAAAGGATTCTATAAATATATATGTATATTAATTTCACATGAATGAAAAATATAATAATAACACTTTAATTAAGTTTCTATTAATATATACTTACACTATCACTATAAAGTACTTGTACTCCCCTTATAATGCCCACTTGGGATTGTATTATTGATACAGATTGGGAAAAATGCATACCTGAAATAATTATTCTTTTAAAAAATGATTCTTCAGATTTTATCGCTTTGACTTTTCTAATTACTCTTATTTTTTCATATTAGTTTCATCCATATATGCATTAACAATCATTTAACATAATTCCATGATTTTTATTAAATTTACATTTATTTCTAAAATAATATCTTACTCAAATATCAAATTCTAATTAATTATCATTCTATTAATTTATAATATGATTTTAGAATCTTAAACAATTAATCTATACTTATAAAAAATTATATAATAAGTAACAAAATATTCATAACAAGCACCATTTTCTTTGTTTACGTGCGATTGTCAAACGAGATGTTTACAAATAGAACGAAATAGTAAAGTGCGAATGCTGACATGACAGTAACATCAATAAGATCAGTTAGACGCTACAAGAATATTCTCTGATTGTCGATCATTTTATAAATTATTATAAATTAATTCGATCATCATAAAATTATGCGTAATACGACTTAGCCGTGATACATCATTAGTGTTTCGTCACTTGCCTAAAATAAATTCCCACTGCTCGCAACCGAGGGATCTTTCGGGCACCACCTCGAGTTCCAACATTCTATCGATTCTATTGTTTCTCTTATTTTAAATTAAACTATAGGATGCACAACGCGTCTCCAAATATCATGAGAACTGCGTTGTTTCTTTGTCTACGTATCGCACTGTTACTAATCACCAGATAGCCATATTGCTTCCCAAACAATAAACCTCGACTCTCTACTCTTACGGCTGGCAAACTGTCACCGAACAGCTGATACGTACCGCGGAATACGTGAAATTAAACCAGACTATCGGCCGTGTACGGAAACGTAATATTATGAGGAAACAGTTCGTTCCGCGTATCATAGATGTCGCATAATATGCTATTCTCAATTACCGCGAATATTTGAATTTTAAAACTGATTCAATTTTAAAATAAATTTGATAATAAATTTAATTAAACTATTTATTTAATATTTAATTACACATTTAGTTTTTAATTTAATAAAAATATATGAAATATAAATCAGTAATAATAGCAATAAACAAAAGATTCTTCATAGACGAAAAAATATCTCGCAACGAATGTGCAATAATATTCTCTTTATTATAAGATATGTAAGGCCATAGATATGTATTAAAGACCATAGATAATAGAATCTTGTCTTTATACGCTGCAGGTTGTTTTACGATTATAAAGAAACTTTCAATCTTATATTTAGAATTTTTTCAAAAATAAATATTTTAGATAAAATACTTTGTTAAAAATTGTTCGATTTTTGTTTTATTTATAAAGTAGATTTTAAAAAACAAACTTTTTTAATTGTCAAAATAATTTTATAATGAAAAATATATAATTTATGATTTCGTTTTGTAATACAACGACCAATCAAATCAAAATATAAAATAATCTTTTGAAAAATAAAAAATATATTTGATACATAAATTGAATTCAAAACTATGGATCAAAGAATTTAAAATTTAAATTTAAAATATCATTTATAAAATTATAAATTAAAACTCTTGTAAAATCATTCTTAATGCATATTTATATTAATAATTTTTATTATTAATTTATGAAAATTCTAAGTTAAATAATATAAATAATAAATCCAGTTTTATTAGTAAATAACTAAGATAAATTTAAATTATCGATCGTCTGAAATAAATGTGAAACGAGTCAAAACATACAAAGAATATGAATCATAATAGTTAAGATTTCAACAAACCGACTATTGTATCACAATCAGAATATATACTTTTGCTTTGCAAAATCATTATTGGAGGATACATCGCACAGTCATGTCCACTATGTTATGTAATCATTTATGATAACCATATGCGTAAGTCACACAGTCGAGCCTCCAAATACGTCAATGCATGCGCAATTTATTCTCTAATACATTTTACATTGTCCATATGTACATTTATGCAAAATGTATCAAAATTCTGTGACAATCTGATTTTCTGTGAAAATCAGATCAAAGTTATCAGAATTGAGAAAATAGAATGAAAAGAAGAAGAATGAAAGGGGGGAGAACGAAATTAATAATCTCGAGGAATTGCTTAGTATCAAAAAATACGATTATAAATATGAAAACATATTTCATATTTTTAATCATATTTTCTTTTCATAGATTAGACAATATGTTTATTCTATTTTAGTAAAGATTTTTTTCCTGTATGTAGTATTAATTTTTGCTACGATTTTTATATTTGTTATTTTCGTTCATGATTTTTCTCTTCTAGTTCACTTTTATTGCATTTAGTATAGTGGTTGATTTCACATATTATTGTGCTTCATTTTTTCTTATTTTCGCATTAATGTTTGAATTAATTATAGCGAAATTTAAGTAAGAAAAGAAGATATAAGGATCTAGGGGAAAAAATAGCATCTTTAGAAAATATATTCACTTTATTTTAATAGATCTCTATTAAGTATCTAGAAATTAATTTATCTCATTACTTTTTTTATGAAAAATTAAATATATTTACTTTTTTTTTCAACTTGTAACTATTGCATAATGCATGATTCAATTTGATTTGATCTCGAGCTCAATCTCTTTTCTCAATACAGATTATTGCCTGATTCTTCCTCAGCTCGAACGAAAGTTAATTAATTCGACTAGATGGTTAGTTAATTTGTTTGAAAACAAAAAAAAAACGATACCAACATCTGATTTATGAAACGAGAAACTAAATATCGATTTAATCGAGGGTATCTTGTAACGAAGAAAACGGGTCATAAAAGCAAGGAAGCCCGATACTCTGGAATTATATTCTTCGTTCCATCAAATTAATCAGAGCGGTGTGATTAAAGTCATATGGAATCCAAACAAAGTGCCAAGTTGTTACTCGGTAAACAATAATGTTGTATGAAATGCGGGCAACGGACAGCTTAGATCAAACTGCAACATACACATACACACGCGTTTCCTTTCTCTCTGCAATCTCACCTCGATGGTGTCTTTTTTCCACGCTCTAACGTAGTTTGATCGATTTCCTGTTTGTAATCGATACCTAACTAATTCATATTTCAATCAATTAATTCTATATCAACTCGATGCGCTTCATATCAAATTGCAATGATATCAATTATACTATGAATATGAGTAGAGCACATTTTAAATATTGTTTCTTTGGACTTTGTCACTCCAAAGAAAAATCTAGGAAATTGTAATAATACTAGATATTAGTGTGTATAATTTTAAGATATATAAGTGTGTATAAAATTAACAATTAAATTTAACAATATATCGTAAGTAAACGATTGTTTTCGATGTATGTAAAGCCAGCTGTTTCGCTTTCTTTGCTCATTTTTTTGATCTCGTTATAAAACAAATGCATCTTCTTGTTGCCTTGGTTCATTGTCTGCTCTCCGTGAATCTTATATTCTTCGCGATAAAGGAAACGAATTCTCCATTCGTAATGAGAATTAATTACGAATTGAAAAAAAAATCAGAATTGTTGCAATTTTAATTTTTCTTATAATAGAAATGGATGGAGAGTCGTGATGGAAAACAATGGTTGAAACAGAAATAATTATGTTTTATTTGATCTCAGATTCTTCTATGGATTCTTAATTATGACCAATAAAAAAGATAATTGTCTCACTGATAACGATCGAAGGACGCTGATATGGAAAGAGCAACGTTTTACATTCGAAATTGTTTTACGAAAAAAATTTTTTATCACATAATACCTCTCTTTCTCTCTTTTTCTCTATGTATCATTATAGAATTAAATCGATTAATTATCGATTAATTAAATCTTGGAATCTCCAATGGAAATAAAATTATAAAATTATAATGATAATATTTGGCGCATTGTGTAGTTCCAGAAAAAGAAGATTTCGGTTTTGAGAAAAAAAGCTTTTCGTTATCTTGACAGAATTGATTCATTTGGAACAGCAATTCGAACAATGTTCAGTTTCTTATACTTTGAACTATATTCTTATACTTTGTCTCGTCGATTAGATAGGAGCATCACGATCCTCATTAATTTGCAAGCAATTTAATCATTCCTTGAACTGTTGGATCGTTCGAATCTTGTTCGAAATTTAAATTGATTACGAGATCGAATAATTTATTGATCTTTGTGAAATAGAAGATATATCGATCGTATTTACATCTTTTGATATATTATTGTTTATTGAAATTTGTTATTACATTTTTGTAGTTTCCAAAGAATTTTTAACTAAAGTTCATCAAGTTTTCGAGCATATATATTTATATTTATCGAGTATTTTTTTTAAAAATTTTAATTTTATTCAAACTTGCGATATTTAATCAGTCAAGCAATTTCCTCGATCGTTCAACTTGTCAAATATTATTCTTCCAAATCTCACGTTCGATTCGATCGAAATAGACTTATTTAAATAACAAAATTTTCCTTATCTTTCATCTGTTCCATTCATCAAGAAAATTTTTTATTTGGATTAAACGTAGATCAAAGATGAAACAGCACCATCATGGTCCATCTCTTAATTCTTTCGTTCCTAAATCTGACTTTGGTTCCAATCCAATCCAAAATATTTATCCACATGGTATAAAGATATGATTTTTTCATTATCCTCCTAAGTACAGCATTCCTATTAAAACCTAAAAAGTGATTTTTTTTATTTATTTTTCGAATACCATCTTATATCATACATATTCAATAACAAAATTACAAAATCAAATTTAAAATTAAAAATTAACAGATAACTATTAAAACTCGAGTTCTAAAAAAACAATTCAACTTTATGCCAATTACAACACAAATGTAATAATAAATCGACTTACAAATTCTCTAACTTTAAAACGTTTCCTACTTAAAACTCGTACTTTTGCCAAATACGCGATCATACGATAACATACACGTACATACGCCTACACCCTCGTTCAATTCCCCGGATTTTACGACCGCGTTAATATCCTAGCACAATGCGTTCACCTTAATCGTCGTCATTTTGTTTCATTTCGAAACAAGTATTTGAATCCGGCCCAAGCGCGTGCACCAATCCGCTCCGGGTTAATTAAACGCGAGCTGGTCGCTCTCCTCGCGCGTGTTGCGCCAGATAAAGGAAAGCGAAAGTGTTGGCGCAAAAATAGAAGTGCAAAACGTAAGTAACGCGAGGTAAGCGTAAGGCGTTTTCGATGTATAAAACGACTTCGCGCAACCGATTTCGTTCGAATGCCTCGTGGCTCGATCAGTCGGTGCGCCGCGATCGCTTTTACTCCCGATCCACTCCGCCGCAAGCTGCAGTTCGCTTCAAACCGTGTGATCGATCGTGTGTGTGTCATCATCCTCCTCCTCCTCCTCCTCCTCCTCTTCCTCCTCTTCTCCTCCTCTTCTCCTCCTCCTCCTCCTCCTTTCATCGCCAACCGTGCGTGTCGTCGACCGTTACCACTTCCTCGGCCGCAACGAATTCGCGCCACGCTACTCGCGGCCATCCTCGAGATCTCGAAGGATCTACTTCAACGAGTCTCACTCCAACGCGTCACTCGATCCAATCTTCTAGGATCGAGCCTATCAGAATCCTCGAAGATCGATCGGCAAATCTCGAGGTGGATCCCCTTCCATCTCGATTAGAGAGGATCATCTGGAGCATCGTTTGCAGGGGGTGCCACGATCGGCGAGGCCAAGAGCCGCGTCAACTGATCAAAAGTCCAGCGCCGATTCCATCGCCATCGATCCCCCCACTTCGCCCCGGCGGAAGTGCTTCGCGGCCAATCCACGGGGAGGAATTAAGCTTAGGGCTCGCATCGATAAAATAAATCCTTTGTCGATCGATATAAAAGCGAGCGAACGCAGGACATGTCCGCGAGAGTCGATCCGGCACGGTGGTCGAAACTCGTAACGAGGAGATTGCCGTTGGTCGCGACACCCTCGAGGCGATCGTCGTCGATCTTCTTCTCGGTTAGGAATCTTCCGAGACACGCCGATTACGCCGGAAACAGGCAACAGGCGAGACGATTCGGGGCGATACTGAGACACGGAACGCTCGAACCGATCTTCAACGAGATGCCGCACGCGGTCGACATTTATTATCCGCAGTGAGTAGTATAACATTCAGTGTCCTAGAGATTGTGCCAATTCATTCTTTCCCTCCAATTTGATCGGTTTTGTTTGGAGAGGATGGCTGAGATGCTTTGGTGAACACGGTGGTATTTGGTCAGTATTCCATTTTGACGTAACGAAGTTTTGGATAATGTTTCTCAAAATTTAACGGATGCTTATTATCCACATTTAACGAATTTTTAATAAAAGTTTTTTCAATTCGTTTTGAAAAATAACGCGGATAAAGTGTTAAAATTGATTCAAATTGATACGGAATATAAATTCCTGTTCAAGTATCGATGAAATTTTAAGATGAAATTAAGAGATGATGGTGTTATTTCCTGTTTATATTATATCTTTAACAGGAATTAATATTAGATCGAGGATAGGGAAAATTCCGAAACAATTGTCGCAATCACGAAATACATCAAACTATAAGAAGTGATATGTGAAAGATACTTAGTCAGAACTTATTCATTTGACTCTATTTGACTATATTGCTATTGCATAATCTCTAATGCAATTTCTAATGCAATCTTCGTTACGCAATTTATATGTGCATTATTTGTTATTGATTTGTTATAATATTATTAAATGACAGTTTTATATAGAACCGAAAACGAATCGATTTAATTTGCAACAATTACGCACGATCATTTAGTTAATATAATAATCAAAATGATACTGTTTCAGCGAAAATATTATTAAATGCAATCTTATCTGTGTAATGGGCGATCCTCAACAATCGATTAACAACATTCTCGATTCACTGGTTTCAAGTTTTCAATTTTAAGTTTCAAATTTTATTGTTTATTTAAACTTTCTTCGTTATCCCTTTGTTGCGAATATTCCTCCTAATTTAAATATCCTATTCAAATAATTATTATTCGTTCTACTAACTGGCATATAATAATAATAAATAATAATAATAATAACTTCTACAATACTTTCACCGAACTAATGGAAATAAGAGTTTAGAGTTTCTTAATTGATACTTTTTCCTTTAATAAAAAGACACATATTCTACGATAACGATTATGTTCATTGAAGCGTGGAAATTTTTGTAACAAAGTTAGTACATGTACTTATATTATATATTATAAAGACAACAGGTTTTCCTAGTAAAAGGAAAGGATACATTTTATTACGATGGAATATGCGAGATGATGAAAGTTGGGAGATATTTTTTTTTTAAGTTTATCAATGAAAAGTAAACGGACAAGTATCGGTTATTAAGATTAAATATAGAGATAATCCATCTTCACTTTGTGAACGATGCAAAGATTCATTTTTTAAGCTTTCTGAAATATTGGAGTGAGAGCCAATCAGTTATGCTTTTAACAAGTTCTCTATAGAGCCACCTGTTACTTTGACCTAATATCTGTCTATCTATCTATGATGAAAGTTTTAGAAATTAAGAATAGATATTCGTGAAAATAAATATTGCAATATGAGAAATAGAATATAAAATATATTATATCGAATAATTAAGAGAAAAACACATTATACAAAGAATATTTTAAACGTATAGAAATAAATTCAAATTTAAATATTGAAGAATATATGTGTGATATTAAAAAATAACATAGCTTAAGCGTTTTAAAATTTACAGAAAAGAATATATTTAAATTAAAATATTATATTGAAACTAATTAAAATAAAACAAAAGTTCAATCACAAAGATAAACGCAATATTACAAATGGATTAAAAAAAAAATTATATTAATTTAATTCTAATTTTATTATATACTTTACAGTTATATACTTTAAGCTACAAATAAAATTTAATATTGTTTCCAGAGTTTCCACATTGGTCACTAATGTAGCGAAGAGTCCATCCTTCAACAATAATTACGAATATATAGGGAAGATACCTTTGTTAAATACACTATCGGAATGCCTCAGTCCAAAAGTTCGTTCATATATAGAGGAATGTGCATCCCTTTGTTGTCCCAAAGATATTTATATTTGCGATGGAAGCGACATAGAATACGATCACCTGTTGAAACTCATGGAAAAGAGTGGAACTATATCACCCTTAACAAAATATGAAAATTGGTAAATGTATTTGAATAATAATTTCATAATCATTATGAAATTTAATTCAATTATTATAACTTTTAAAAAGAAACGTTTTCTTTCGTATAAGTATCTTTTTAAATCTAATTCTTTTTAATCAAATTATAAATAAAAAAATTTCAATTTTATTATGTTATGAATTTTCACAAAATTTTCTTAAATAATCTGTCTTACAAAGGCAAGTATAAGACACATAGGATATGTTCAATCATTGAAGTAAAAAAATATTTATGAAGAAACGATTAATAAAATATTTTTGTTTTCTTTTATGCAGTAATCTTGAAATTTTTAATTTCTTGAGTTATTTAAAATCTAAAATAGAAATAAAATGTTCAATTATTTAAATACAGTATATTTTATTTTTAGCTGGCTTGCTAGGACGAATCCTGCAGACGTAGCACGAGTTGAGAAATTCACGTTTATCAGCACAGAACGTAAATCCGATACAGTTCCCACTACACGCAAAGATGTTACTGGAGAATTGGGTAATTGGATTTCTCCGACTGACATGGACAAAGCAATCCTTGAACGTTTTCCAGGATGCATGAAAGGTAATTTTAAAGGAATTTTGAAGATGTATTTCTGAATCGATTTAATGAATAAAAGAAATTGATGAGCCCACATTTATAATACAGGTCGGACAATGTATGTCATTCCATTCAGTATGGGTCCAGTGGGTTCAATTCTTTCAAAAATTGGAATAGAGATTACAGACTCTCCATACGTTGTTTGTTCCATGAGAATAATGACCAGAATGGGTAGAAAAGTTCTAGAAGCTCTTGAGAATGATAATTTTGTCAAATGTTTGCATTCTGTCGGCGTTCCAAAGACTGATTCAAAAGTTAATGTTAATTGTTCCTGGCCCTGTGATCCAGAGAGAACGATCATTCTTCATAAACCAGCCAAAAATGAAATAGTCTCTTACGGGAGCGGTTACGGTGGAAATTCTTTACTCGGTAAAAAATGTTTTGCCTTGAGAATTGGTTCAACTATCGCCAGAAATGAAGGCTGGCTTGCAGAACATATGCTTGTATGTAATTAATCATTCACAATTTAACATTGAAACTGAGAGTTGAGAAACTCATATTCTTTTCTCTAATTATGTCTCCAAATATAGTCGCATCATTACAAACATTAAGATTTGACTTCAATATTTATTATATTCCATTGATGATATATTAAATGCAAAGGAATATATTAAAATTAAATTGTTTTTTTTATTATATATACTTCTATAAAAATTTATTTTCAACATTGGTGTTCGCAAGTATATCAGTTGTTTAAAAGATTCTACATTAATTATCTTTTATAGATATTGGCTATCACAAATCCAAAAGGTAAAAAGCGTTATATTACTGCTGCATTCCCTAGCGCGTGTGGCAAGACCAATCTGGCCATGATGAAGCCGACATTACCAGGATACAAAATCGAATGCGTAGGTGATGATATCGCTTGGATGAAATTCGATAAGGAAGGTAGACTTCGTGCCATAAATCCAGAATATGGATTCTTTGGTGTTGCACCTGGAACTAGCTTCGCCACTAATCCTAACGCCATGAAAACTATTTTTAAAAATACTGTCTTCACCAATGTAGCTTCCACTAGTGATGGTGGAATCTTTTGGGAAGGATTGGAGAAAGAAGTTAGTGATGATATTGAAGTAAGAGTTTGTTACTATATTTTATAATTTTTCTTCTTCAAAAATTAATCACGTCTCATTTATGGAATTAGTTGAATTACAGTAAATAACGACATTTATATAGATCACCGATTGGCAAGGCAAGAAATGGATCAGAGAATCCAAATCGCTAGCAGCACATCCAAATTCCAGATTTTGTTCTCCAGCTGGACAGTGTCCTATTATCGATCCAGCTTGGGAAGATCCAAATGGTGTTCCCATAGATGCTATTCTTTTTGGAGGTCGAAGACCAGAAGGTGTTCCTCTTGTATATGAAGCTAGAAATTGGCAACATGGTGTTTTCATTGGAGCTTCGATGAAGTCTGAAGCTACTGCTGCAGCAGAACATAAGGTAATAACACGAAAGATGTTAAGTAATAATTTAATAATAAAATAATAATTATAATTATTAAAATAATAATAATAATAATTAAAATAATAATAATAAAAATCACTTAGAAAATCACTTCATATTGAATTAGATGATATGCATTTTTTTTTGAAACTAATTTGATTATTTAAAAAAAATCATAAAAGAAAAATAAACATTTTTTGTAATCATTTATCTTATAATTTTATCTTTGGAAATTAAATGATTTATTCAATAATTATGAATTAGGGAAAGATAATCATGCACGATCCGTTTGCTATGAGACCCTTCTTTGGCTACAATTTTGGATATTATCTCGATCATTGGTTAAGTATGGCCAAAATGAAGAATGTCAACCTACCAACTATATTTCACGTGAATTGGTTCAGAAAGAATGCGGATGGCAAATACCTTTGGCCAGGATTCGGTGAGAATTCTCGTGTTCTGGATTGGATTTTTCGCAGAATCGAAGGCGAGGATATTGCTACAAATTCTCCTATAGGTCTATTACCTAAATTAGAATCGTTCAATTTGGAAAACTTGAAAATGAAAATAGACATGGAAGAGTTATTCAGATTACCGAAAAGCTTCTGGCAGGACGAAGTTAAAGAGCTTAGAGAATATTTCGATGCACAAGTCGGTGATGATTTGCCTTCAATCATTCGTGTAGAGCTTGAGCTTCTTAGTTCTAATATAGATCAACTTTAAAATAATATTATTTTTTATATTTTTAACATAACATCAAATTTGATTAAAATTAATTTTTTTTACCGAAACTAAACGAGGAAAGATTAAAAAAATTTTAAAATTATGAATCAAATTATTAAGATTCATATTAAATTCAGAAATCATAATCTAGCTAATTGTTAGATTTTTCCATTATATCGAAATGTAATATATTACATTGATATTTGAATTAGAACATCATTCACATTCATTGAAATATTTTCCGAATATCTTTCGTATTTAACATCGCTTTCATTATTAGAAAATACTTATAATTTTATGATTATTTGGAATAGGTTTTTTTTAGAGAAGGATCGTGTACGAGTATGCAAATTAATATAGAATGAAATAATTTATCATTTAGAATAAAAAAAATATGTATTTTCAATATACATTTTAAATAAAAAATAACTATAATGAATAAATATTTTTCATATTTTTTTAAGTAATTATTAATTAGATAAATAAATTAATTAGATAATACTAACATTGAAACACAATAAATAGAATTTAATAATTTTTATTTCAAATAAAAGATCGAAAATTCTTCTAATAATTGTATTTATTGACCTAATATTTTAATTACCTAAATAATATTTATGAAAGACTTCAAATATAAGACATTTAAAATTGTACATTTGAATATATATAGATATATTACAAAATTTTTGCGATCATATACATATACAATTAAAGATTTATCATATCACTTAACATTTAATACATTAAGTTTAATGAAATAAACAAAAGAGAGCAGATATCTTATTGAAATTGTTTCGTAATTTCTTATTAAAATTTAAATAACGTTTTAAAAATTTAAATAACGTTAAATATACGATGTATATATGTATAATTAATATAATAAAAAATAAATATAACATAACTAAAAACAATAATATATATTTTGTTGATAGATTAAATATTTTTTTTTTTTTTACTTTGCTTATTATTATTTTAGTAGTATATAATATTATACCCGTATTTTAAGTATTGATAAATAAATTGAAAAACACTCTATTAAATTTAATATGAATATAACATATTATACATATATATATTATGCAATAAAATAAATGAATAACTAAGAAAAAATATCGCATGTATCAAATATATGAATTTTAAGATAGAAGAATTTAGATATTATTCAATACTAATTCTAAAATGGCTATTCTCTTTTTGATAATTTTAAATTTTATATAAATAGAACAGAAAAACTATTATTTCGAAAATCTAAAATAGATTATATATAAATATTATTTTATATTAGATTTGACAAATTAATAAAATACACAATATTAGTGATTTAAAAAAACTAAATAAAGGTAATTATAATTTTTTAATATAATTTTAATATAAGTATTTCTATCATTTATTTAAAAAAAATTTTATAATTGTAATTCATATTTAATTATTATTTTATTAATTATTATATATTATTAAATTTTTTAATTTACATTATTTTGTGCAAAAAATGAAAAACATTATTTTATTTTAAGCCATTATAATTTTACCTTCATTTAATTTCACAATATGCATTGATTAATTTCTAAAATCTTCTTTTAGAATTAATTTTTATTAAATTATAATAGAGTTCTCTAATATACATAAATACATTATTCTTTTGTTATTTTTCATTTCCATGCAATTCTACTTTAAAAATAGAACACAATATATTTATGAACCTGCTCCATTTAGAACCAAGAGTTTCTTATTTCATGAATTATATTCTATGTACAAATTTAATTCTATTCTTCTACTTATGAATACATTGATCATCTAATTAACATCAGTTAAGAGGTCACAAAGAATCAGTTATCACTTTATTAGTGAGATATTCTTTTTAATCTTTAAGATTAATTAATATGTTCTAGTATATACTTTAAAGACTAGATCTTTCATCAGTTCTTAATATTTTGCACCAATTTCATAAGATTACACAGATAATATTTGTGTCATCTTTTTCTTATCTTTCTTAATCTTTTTTTTTCTTTTTTTTTTTTTTTTATATATATACTTTACAATATTACTATAACTACTATACAATTATATATAGATGCACATTTAAGAATTAATTAACATTTGGTTAATAAATATATTAACGCTTTCGTGATTGCATTCCACAATATTATTATACATATCTGACGTTCTTTGTGAGCATTGATACATCTCTCATTCAATTCTAATATCTCTATTTTCTTGTAATTTATTTTTTATTTAAAATTCTTCTTTAAAATTTAAAAAAGAGTATGAACTTTGATTCTTAATAAAATCGTAACAATATTATCGATCACGAAAATAAATATTATGAAATATGGAAATGAATTTCATATTTCAAATATATATTTTGCTTATAATCATTTACATATTAAGATCCAATATCTTAATTTTTTTGTTTAATTAAAAAATTATAATAAGATGCAAAAAAAAAAACTCTTTATAACAAGCAATTGATCTATAAAAATTTTAGCATATGAATGCAAATGAAATATAATATCTATCATATAATTAAATTAAAATTCCATATAAGTTAAAATTCATTAATAATCATATTATATTACTCAAGAGAATTGACAATAAAATTTGCGAACTTTTCAATTCTAAAATTTGTATAATTTGATAAAATTATTTCAAAATGAAGTATAAAAAGAAATAATTTTTAATTCATTATTTTTCTTGTTAAATTGTTGTATTTGTTTTTAAATATAGGTCTGAATTTCTTAATATTTAATTGAAAATGATGCATTTTATTACAACTTTTTGAATCTCACGAATGTAAATATAGAATGAAAGTATGCATAATGCATAATATTATATATAATTATAATATTATTTGTTAGTTTATAATATATATTAGCAAAAAATATTTGAAATATTATTTTACAATAATTCATGAACACATAATATCTAGTTTCAATGAATAGTTCAATTTCAATGTGCGTAATCAAATAATTTTCTGATATTTGATAAGATGTATTTAAATAATAAAAGTGCATTATAATATCTATATAGAATTATCTATAGATAATTATATATAGATAATTTAAAAAATATGCTTTCAAAGATATAGAGAGCTTTATACTATTTTATGATACTTATCTACAATGTAATAAAGATAAGTATTGTTGCAAATTTAAACATATTGTTAATTTAATATATATTCACTATATTTCAGTTTTTTTTCAACATTTTAGATTATTAAAATTAATTTAAAAGTTTATTTTATATGTGTTATTATAGAATCTTTTGAGATCTTTAAAAAAAAGTTGCATATATCACTCTTGTTTTTTTTTGTTAAAATAAAATTCAGGTACATACTTTTCATCCATTATACTTCTTCACTAATGTTTCCAACGCTCTGGGAATACATAAAGGACACAATATTTCTGGTTTAGTAGTTTGAGATAACATTTTTTCTAAGTACTGAGCTGTACATGGAAGAACTAACGATTCGGATGTTAATAATTCAGTTTCCATCATTGGAATTATTTCATTTTTATATGCAGATAATGAAAAGTGATGTCCACATGTGAATATCATTGTGTCTTCTTCAGTTTCGAGAAATCGATATACCTCATTCGGATCCTAATTTCAAATAAAAAAATTTTATCATTTATATAAAAAATCATTTTTATAAAAATGATTATTGATTTAAATGATATAAATATATTTTTTAAAAAAAATAATATTTTATAAATATAAAATTTACCTTAATATGTACAAACGATTTAGAATCATGAATATTAGAAGATATAGTACTTATAACTCCTTCCATCATTTGCTTTGAAGTATTATTTCCACTTGAGCCTGGATATCCAGTTAATGGTGGTCCAAATTGATCAGCCGTTAAAGAAGATAATAATTTAATGAATTCAGGCATAGGTTGATCTAAAAAATATTTAATAATCTAATATAAATATCTTTAATAACATAGTAACATAATATAAAATAATTTTTTATTCCATATATTATACCAAAAAAATAAATAAATAAATAAATAAAATTTCTTACCTTGATCTATGTGATGTAGTAACATGGAACATATTTGAAAACAAAATTTAATAGAAAAATAATCAATTGCAATAAAGCTTTTGACTTTTGCATCATTTTTATTTATATCCAAATATTTTTCCATTATTTCTTGGCTATAAAAATATTTAATATTTTAATAATAAATTATATTATCTCAAAAAATATACCATATACATGTAAAGAATTTACCAAAATAATAATAATCCAAGGGGATAAAAAATTGATTGAATATGCTCTAAAAATACGTTTTCTATTGTTTGTATAACTAAATCATGTTCAATCCAAAAATTAAGTGCATCTTGTAATATTTTACATTTGATAGTATCTGTTTCATTTTCCATTTCATTTAAAAAGAACTTAATTACTTTTATAGCTTCATTGGTTATATTATTTTGCCAAAATTGTGTAATTTTTTTTTCATTGAATGCTCCACTATTTTTAGGCAATTGATCCAATGTTTTTTTCATAGAGGAAATTCCTGAATTATCTTCAGTGAATTTTCCTATTTTTTCTTGCTTTCGTAATTGATTTTCTTTCAAAATAAGATTTTCCACCCATTCCTCCGAATCAGAACTAACATCAGAATCAAAACTATCTTCGAAAATTTCTGTAGATGTATTCTCACATTTAATATCTTTGCATAATTCTTCTAATCCTCCTTGACAGTCAAATGTGTACAATTCTTGTTGAAGTAATTGAAGACTGTTCAGTGATTTGCTGGCAGGAATTTTCATTTTGTTTTTGGCAGCGCAATCCTTAACAGAATCAATCAGATTCTTCTCTACTTGTCTATTGAAAAGTTCGGTATTTTTTTTAACATGTTTTAACGAAGATTTCTTTAAATCAGATTCTTCAGTAGACTTTTGTTCCATTTCTTCATATAAATTTTCAGACTTCACTTTTGAACAAGATTGGAGACTCAGTAAATGTAAAATTTTCAATTGATAGGAAAATGCTTCAGAAATATTATGTTGCAGTAGAGCAATTTTTGAGCAAGCTTGGTAATTTCCTAATTCAATACACTAAAAATATAAAGTTAAAAAATTAATTAATTAATTAATTAATTAATTAAAAATAAACTATAAAAATTTTTATTTATTTATAGCTATAAAAATATATTTAATAAAATTAATTTCTTTAAAAAATTATATAAAATAAAAAACCAACCTTTTCTATAATTTTCGAGGAATCATACAAACCAGAGAAATATTCTAATGCATAATGTAATGTCAATTCTCCTGGTGATTTTTCAATAACACTTAAAGGACAAATAGTACCTGCCAAAGAAGATATGTCATAACTTTGATAAGAAATGATGGGAGCGGGGATATTAGGAACTTGAGTGGGCATGTCCAAAGCTACATGCGACGTATGAGGAAGTCGTACAACTCGTTTTTTAATTAATACAAGTTTATCATCGGTATCACGCATATCTTTTGCAGGAAGTCGGCCTAATTGTGCTCTACTGTTATTACCCCAAGCTAAAATTGTACCTCCTGAAAGAAAATATAATAAAAAATGAAAATTTTATGTAGAATAGAATCTGAAATTTATTTAATACAAAAAAAAAAAATGATCATTTTAAATTAATTTAAAAATCTGCATTTACAAACTTAATAAGATTTTATATTATATTTTATACTAAAGTTTATATATTTAAATATTATGTTATACTTTAATGTTTAAATATAAAATTTTAAAAAATTTTTTTAATATTTGTTATTGTATATTTATAAAACAATATATTAAATACCTGGTTGAATAGCAATTGTATAATCATATCCACAGTAAACTCCAACAGTTTTAATTATAGCATTTATTTTTTCTCTAGATTCATTATTTTCCGATTTAATTTCATTATGTACATTTCCGTTTTTCTCACTCATAATATTTTTTATATCATTTATTTCTTGTTCTTCTCCTGTACGTTTATAAGCATTATGTCTTGGAGGTACTTGTGCAAAAATCGAAACAGGATTGTAACACAGTGGAGTAGGAATCGGAACTTCTCGTCGACTACCATTGCCTATTTGTCCATCTAAATTTCTACCCCATGTATAAAGTGATCCATCTTTTGTTACAAGAGCATTATGATGACAACCAGTTGATATCTGTTATTATAATTAATAAATTACAATAAAAAATTTTAAGACTTAACGAAAATTTTAAAATAATAAAATGATAATTTTATTTGTGAAATAATTAAAGAATAAAAAATTTCATAACTGGCCTGTATGATATTTCCTTTAACTAAACTAGTATCTACAATAGTTGGTTTTAAATGAGTTTGAGCCTCTTCAAGTGATCCGACATTTACATTTCTTAAACACACATTATCTAATTGTTTTCTTCGTGATTCTGTATTAATTCCACTTTTTGCTTGTGCATTTTTATTTTGTGCATCATTTTCTAAAACTTCTTCATTTGTATCATTCATATTTGTGGAATCTGCAACTTTTTCGAACTCATCAATATTTTCTAACTGTTTTATATCTCGTTGTTCCAATATTCGAGTCCGCTTTTGTGTTTGTGCTTGCAATCGAAGAACTTGAGGACTAGCTCCCCAGATATATAACTTATTTGTACAACTAACTGCAAGCTAAACAAAATGATAATATTGACAATTATTGAAATTATGTAATTCATTTTTATTAATTTATTTTAATATAATAAATGATTTTATAAAATTTTTTACTTACATTATGAAAATATCCAGTTGCAATAAGAATTATTCTTTCTGATAATGAGATTTTTATTGGTACTGAACTTTTAATATTATTGCCCACACCTAATTGTCCAAAAATATTACAACCAAATGCATATATAATACCTTCTATTGAAAGAGCCAATGTATGTGCATGACCGGCAGTAATAAAACGTATAACTATACCAAGTAAAGATGTAACTAATGTAGGAGTCATTTTTTTATCAGTATTACCATGACCTAATTGACCATGAACACCCCAACCCCATGTAAAGACCCTTCCATCCGAAGTTAATGCAACAGAATGATATTGTCCAGCTACTGCATCAACAATGACTTCTTGAGCCAAAGAAGTAATCAATTCAGGAGTTGAGCATTGTAAAATTTTACCCAAACCCAATTGACCAAACTGACTTGATCCCCATGCATAAACGCCATTATTAGTTACTGCCAAAGTATGACAATGACCACAAGATACACTGAGAACCTCAATTTCCATTATCCAAAAGAAAGATATAACTTGAGGTGAACCATATCTTAATACAGATGAACCAGTGCCTAATAATAATTAATGTAAATATAAGATAAATAAAAAATACAAAAATATGTGTTTAATTATATATATATATTCACCTAAACATCCTTGCACAGAACTTCCCCATGTATAAACATTTCCATTTCTGATAAGAGCAACATGAGAAAATCCTGCACACAATGGCCTTCTCTTGAAATCAACACCAGAATTAGAATTATTGTGATCCTATTTCAAATTATATAAACTTATAATTATTTACTAAAACAAAACATTAAATAGTTTATATCATGATAATTACCTTCTTAAGAGCTAATAAATCAATATTATATGTAGTAGATTCTTGATGTAAAATAGATTTTTTACAAATCAAAGTTAATAAAATTAGTAAAAAAGTTTCTATGATTTCTTCTATTAATGTATCAGCCTCATCCTATATGAAAAATGAAAATAAATATTAACTATGAATAATTAATGAATAATAATTATATATATGAATAATTAATTAATAAAACATAAGCATACATTTTCCATGAGATCTATAGAATCACATTGACTAGATTGAGAACTATGCGAAGTAGTTCTATGACGTAATCGGCATCGTACTACTCTAGGTCTTATTACTGGATTCGTTGGATCGTATAGTGTTACTAATCTCTGAAAAATATTTATTATAATATAAAAACAAAATTATTTATATTATTGTATTATAAATATGATCTAAATCTTACTTGCAATACAAAAATTTGAGAATTTTGAAGATTATCAAGTATAAATGACATGTGATTTCTAGCTAACTCAGGGTATACTAACATTGCTTGCATTAGATTTGGTTCACTTATACATATTAATAAGCCATCTAAAATAAAATAAATATTTTATAAATATTTGTATAATTATCTTCTCTTATTTTCCAATTATAATTGTTATAATTATATATTACATGGTGTTGGTTGGAAATTGCTTGTACTGAAATTATGTATTGTCCTCATAAGAATATCTAACATTTGTCCATAAAGACCCTTTTGTGTTGCTAAATGATGCAACACCTCCCATAAACATGCCTGTCCAGCGATGTTAACTGCTAATAACTCATCATAAAAAGAATTTGTAGATAAAAAATATCTACAATTCAAATAATTTTTATTACATAATTTTCTTTATAAAATTTCTAGTTATATCTAAAAAAGTTTTAATTAAATGCTTACAAAAATTCTTTATATATAGCTTTGGACTTCTGAGATGAAATTCTAAGCGTCCGTTCAATAAAAGCTAAAACACATAAATTAGAAAGATGTATTCTTGGTGCAACAGGTAATTCACTAATAGCTGGAGAAGCTAAACAATGTGTCAGACAACGTAGTAAATCTGCTGTATATCCAACAGATGCAAATTTTAACATGCTCTTCATTATTCTACACTGAAAAAAAATATATAAAAATTAAAATATATCAATCTGTATTACAGAAATTATATAATATTATGTATCTTTTTTATATCTACTTACTTTAGACAATTTATAACAAGCTACTGCACGTGGAAATTCTTTATTCATTAAAAGTATATCACCAGCTTGCTCTAATAATTGTTGTGCATTTATACCAAATATTATAGCTAATTTTGCTGCTTTTTCGAGTTCATTATTTTTTAATACTAATTCCATAAAAATTGATAATATTGGTTTTCTATAAAACCAAAAAAAATATAATTATTATAAATAATTATATTATTATTCATATATTATATATATAATTATTATTCATATTAAAATAATAAAATATAATAAATATAATATTAACCTTAAAACAATTTTATATACAGAATGATTTGTTACAATTATACATGTATCCACATGAGGTAATTCAATTTTAATATCTTTTATTCCTTTTGGTAATGTATATTTATTTTTAATTTCTTCAGAAAGTATTGTTGATGAATTATTTGTACAATCAATAGCTCTGTACACAGCACGTATTACTTCTTTACTATTTATTAAAGAAAAATGACCAACAATACATTCTGGATTAAATTTACCATTATCATTCCTACGAGTTTCAGATAATCTATCTGATATTACATATATTATACGTTGACTAACATCAGTAATAAAAAAAAATCGTTGAGTTAATAAAATGTTTCTACATGATTCAAATACTTTATGTGCTGATAGAGGTACAGTAGTAAAATTAGGTCCATATACCTATAATTATAAAATTATTTTTATATCATATTTATTATTTCAATAAAAATTAATTATTTTTAATCAATAAAAATTAATTAATTAATTTCTATACCAATATTTGACTTGTAATAGAATGATAACATGTATATAATTGATGTCCTTCTCTGTCTAATTGAGACATTAGAAATACTTCTTTTGACATCACTTCTGGTGTTATTTGATTCTGATTTACTTCTGTTGAAGATTCAGAATTAATAGTTGTATTTTGAGTATTTCGATTATTTGTAATATCTGCAAAATTAATAAAATTTCATTAATGATCAACAATAAAATTTGATTTTAACATCATATTATATAATATATATAACCATGATACTGCAAATTTTCTCCTAATGTCTGACTTTTTGTTTCTATTAATTTTTGTCTGAGTATTGCAAGTTTATCCACAGACAATTGCTTGAGTCCTTGCAATCTAGATCTAGTAGAAGCAAATATTTTGGTGTTATCATATATGTTATCATTTGTATGTAATGCATTATATGATTCTCCATTTTCTAAATGATGCAAACAACTATATGTACGCTGTTCTAAAAGTAATCTCCATTGTCTTCTGGATTGACTTGTTATCAGAAGAGATACAATGTCATTACTTTGGTCACGACAAATATGCAGACTAATGATATTTCCTTTAATTTGTGTAACATTTGTTTGATGGCCAGTTTCAAGATTAATAAATATGATTTCTCCATATTCTGTCCCAATAATACCAATTTCAGCAGGTATTAGTATACTTTGCCACCATACTATTGCAGTAGGTCTAAAAATTTTAAATTATAAAATAAAATAAAATAAATATTAAATCACAAGTAATTTCTTTCAATTATGATATATACTTTGAATGAGATGATTGTGAACTAATAGAAGGAAAAGAAGTTATATCATCACTAGTCCATCTCTTATCTTTCTCACAATTTTCATCTACAAAGCACAGAGCAGGAATTATATATACAGATCCATCAACACTTGTAGATAATAACCATGATCCCATTGAATGAAAACATAAAGCTGAGATTTGTTTATGAGATCCTTGAAACCAAGGTATTCTTCTAATAATTGCAGTAGATGTTGAATTTTTTTTATAATATAAAAAAATTTCAGCATTTCCTGTTGTAAGTGCTAAAAATAATCTTTTTCCATATTCACATTGTGCACTATGTTGTATATTTGTTGCTTTAATTAAACATTGTAACTTAAATAAATTTTTTTCACTAAAATTTGTCATTGGCTGAAAGCCTTCTGTGCCTATTTCTGCAATCATTATATTAAAAATGATAATTTTAATACTACCTGAAATATAAAATGATTTAAATAGATAAATTTGATCTGAAATTTCATAAATTTAAAAGAAAAATTTATTAAAAATATCATATTGTAAAAAGAAAAAATACAAAAATATATATTTATAATGTTCAAGTTAATATAATTTTTATCAAATCTCTTTTTATCAAATACAAGTTTATAAAAATTTATATATTAGTTTTAAGTTTTAAGTTTTAAAAATTTATATATATCAAATATTTAATGTAATTAAAATGTACTTATAATATAAATTTAAAAAGTAAATAGATAGGGAATTAATTATAAAATTCCACAAATTTAAACATTTAAATCAATATAATTATTAATTATAATTATAAAATTATTTTAAATATATAATAAATTATTTGTAACACAATCTAAAACATGCAATATTTATATAACATATAAAAATTTATATAACATTTATTATATTTCATTTACTATTACGATTGCGCGATATGTTAAACACATAAATAAAAAAGTTATTATGAGCTATTATACCTGTATTTATGCAATTGTAAAATAATATAATTGATGAGAAAATTTTGCCTATTAAGAAATTCTTTTTGCGCCAAAAAGAAATTATTGGAAAAGGAATCTAAAACAAATTTCACATTGCGCATTCCGTCGAAACGTATTATTTTTTTCGCACGTAAGATATTAAAAACACTGATTATTTACATTACATTTTTACAAAATACTGCCATCAAATTTCTAAATGTCAGAATATCAAGGTTAGATTGCATTATAATCAACAGTGCAGCCATTTGAAAAAATCAAAAGCACTAGTATATTATATAAATTGACATTCTGTGATATTGATAGCATTTAATATTGTAATTTTTTTCCTAAATTATTCAATTAAAATTTAAATAAATTTAATAGAAACTATTTATATTTTTTTTAAATTTTAGAAAATAATATTAAACTTTTTGAATTTTTTGTAAAGGATAATATCTATATATTTAATTAATAATGAAATTGATGATGATGCACCATAGATTAAATATACAATAGATTTATCCATCCAATACTCTAGAGATGCTATTAATTCCTTAATTTTTATCATATTTCTGTTATTTTTACTATTTATTTTTTTTCTGAATTTATTTTTGCGCTTGTTATAAATAAGATACAAAATATTAATAGAATATAATGTATTTAAGTTTATATTATAAAAAAAAACATAGATATTATTTTCTCAGTTTTACAATGTAATCTCGCAAAATATACTATATTTTGATATAACGCGATATACTATATATAAGCATTGTAATATCTTTATTGAATTTGAATAATTTTAAAAAGTTCACATTCTTGTTAATCAATTCTATTTGCATATAAAATATTTTTTATAGGAAAACAATTTCTAATAACAATTCTTAATTTTCTACATAATTAAATGTTGGTAGTATTTGTATCATATTTCATATACTATTGTCATTTGAAGTACGCATCGAAAAATGGTGGATGATAGTAGGAATCGACAATTTAGTATTGAATATCTTAAATTTAAAGAGTTTTAAGTGAAACAATATATTATATATTTTACTTGTAACTCAAAACGTTGAGAATGGGTTCAAATAAACGACATAAGACCGAGAAGAGCCGAGATACTAAGAAGAAGCGTCATCGTAGCCGTTCACGAAGTTATACGCCTGAACGTGAGAAATCGGAAAAACATAGGCATCACAAAAAGCATAGAAGGAAAGAACGCAAGGATTATGACAGCGATGGTTATTATCTGATTCATTCTTATTAAACTATACGAATATGTTGTACAATGGTTTTCTTAATATCGCGTATTTTATTATAAATTAACTATACCGCTTTGCAAATGTAATTGTTTATGAGCGGTTAGATAAGCTAAACTTTTTATTTATCTTCGTTGTTCCTCGTTCCTCATTCATCGTTTCGAAAGTAATATCGTGTTTTATCTGCGCAGAAATGTATTTATCGATTTCAAGTACAAGATTAAATAATTTGGAGGAAATCAAAGCAAATAATATATATACTTTGCATAGGTACATAAGCATTTACTATGATGAGCATACGATATTTAATATCAGTTAATACTGCGTTTATTTTATTTCAGTTGAAATAGTTAATGCACCTCCTCCACCAAAAATCTCTAAGTCTTCACATCCGTCAACACCTCCACCTCCTGAAATTTCTAAGCAGCATAGTCCTTCGCCAAGTAAAGGTGGAACACAAACTTCCCTATCTATTGAAGAAACTAACAAATTAAGAGCAAAATTAGGCTTAAAGCCATTAGAAATTGATAATGCTCCAAAAGATGATCCTAACAAAATTAAAGATGATTTGGGAGAATTTTATCACAAACCTGCTCCTGATGTTAATGAAAAATTAAAAACTCAAAAATTAAAGGAAAAAATTGGTACTCAAAAACAAAAGAGATTAATTGAGGCTAATTTAGCAAAAGTAAAAAGTTTAGGTGAATGTGATTCTGATGATGATACTAAAAATTGGGTTGATAAAAGCAGACGTTTAGAAGAAGAGAAGAAAAAAGCAGAAGAAAGGGTATTTTTAAAATGTTTTTATTTATATATTTAATATATTTTTAATTAGTTTATAGTTTTAATTTCTTCTATTTTCACATAAGGCAAAAATGTTAGATCAATTAGATGAGGAATTTGGAATTGGAAATTTGGTTAAAGAAGAAATTCATGCTGCACGTAATTTGGCTTATACTGAAAAAAATTTAAAAGGCCTCAAAGTAGAGCATAACATTGTAAGTATTTAAATTTAAATATAATTCTAAAATTTACAATAAATAAAATTGTTAAATAAATAATAGGATAAATTTGAAGAAGGCAAAACAGTCATCTTAACATTAAAAGATCAGGAAGTATTACAAGAAGGAGAAGATGTACTCGTTAACGTAAATATAACGGATGAAGAACGTTATCAACGCAATATTTTAAATAGATCTAAAAAACCTGGTTATGATGCATATGATGACGATAATTTTGATGAGTTTGGTTTTCCAAAAAAAACAATTTTAGAAAAATATGATGAAGAAATTGAAGGAGAAAAAAAGGAAACTTTCACACTTGGAATTAATAATATTAAAGATGTTAAGCAAAACAAACTTGATTATGTTAAGCAACGTTTAGCAAATAAGCGGATAGAATCATTACACTCAGCAGAGCCAAAATTAGCTAGTGAATATTATAATGAAGAAGAACTTGCGAAATTTAAAAAACCAAAGAAAAAGGTACTTTTTTAAAATATAATTTTAATGTCTCTTTTTGCATAAAATATAAATTAATATTTCATTATATTATTATAGATCCGAAAGATTAGAAAAAAATTAAAAGCTGAAGATTTAATTCCTGAAGATAATGATTATCTTCGAGATCTTGGAAGTAGAAGGAGCAAGCGAACAGATGATGTAAAAGATAATGATACTTTAGATGTAGATGATTTAGAGGGTATTTACATTTTTATATAAATTATGATAATTTTTTAATGTTTAATTTTCATAATTTTAATTATTTCATTGTTTAAAATTTTATAAACTAACTATCTTTTTATTCTAAAATCAAGCTCCTACTGAAGACCTTACTGGAATTAAATTGGAAGAAGATGATAAGGAATTAGAATTACAATTAGCATTAAAAAAAGCTCAACGATTAAAAGAATGGCAATCATCAAGTATTGAAAAAGTTACAGAAACCATAAAACAAGAACCTGCAAATTTAGAAGAAAATCAATCTGGAAATATTGTTCTTAATGCTACTGCAGAATTTTGTAGAACATTAGGAGATATTCCTACTTATGGTCTTGCTGGAAATAGAGAAGAGAATGGTCAGGAATTGATGGTATAAAATTTATTTTCATTTATTTATTTATTTTAATTTTATATTATATATAATAATATTATTTATATTTTTTCTTAATTTTTTTTAAATAAAAATTATAATTTAATAGGACTTTGAAATGGATGGTGTTAAAGAAGAACCACCCATGAACGAGGAAGAAGATGATGGTCGCGGTGCTTGGAATACCGTACATTTAGGTATCTCTCTCTTTAATATCTAAATTTTTTTCATATTTTTTACTTATATATAAATATTTTTTATATTTTATAAATAGATGAAAGCACATCAGAACCTGTAGCCATGGAAGCTGCAATTTTAGACGCAGAACCTTCTCTTGGACATGGTGTTGGTGGGGCATTGAAATTAGCTATGAGTAAAGGTTATTTGCAAAAAGAGGACAGCAGTAGACCATCTGCATCTCGTTTTGCACACTTGCAAGCTCAGAATTATTCAATAGAAGACAAAACTTATGGGTATGTATAGAACGTAATTATCGTTCAATAAAAGAAACTTTCTTACATACTTAAAAAAAAATGAATGTAAAAAACATTCTTTTATTGAATGTATACCAAACGAATCTTGTTAGACGAGTCTCTAGTGAATTTCAAACTGTTAGTTAACAGTCATAAATAAGAGAGCTCAGATTTCGGTGCTCGGAAAATGGATGATCTACTACCGCAACAAGAGATTAACTACTTTGTCGGAGATGAAAGGCCTGAGAAGAGAGTAGGATTGATAGAGGTATGTTTATATTATGCGATTCTATTCCGAGCAAGATATGTATGAACGTTCTAGACAAGTCCACGTATGGATTGAAATTATATTTAATGAATAAAAAAATTATATCTACTATACATTGACAATAGAGATTTGTATTATCATATTTTATATTTGCATGTTCAAATATGTAAGATTATTATAATAATCTTCAAAATATGAATTTCTATACATTTTCGTTTGAATTTTGATATTTATCGATATATTTTTTGCTAAATATATTATAATATATCTTTAAAAAAGATTATAATATTATAATAATTTAAAATAGTATATTTATATATATATATATATATAATATATATTTATATATAAAAAATTATATATATATATATATATATATATATATATATAATTAAATTTAAATATAAAGAACATATAACTTATTACGATAATTATATTGACTTGTTTAGATTTGTATTAATTTAATCGCATAATGTAATGTATCTTGGAAACTTAATAATTTTTCTGTTCGCGGTTAATTTCGAAACACCGAATTCCACGAGCTACTATCAATTTTTATATTTAAATAAAGTTTAAAAATTATTTTTTATTTCTTCTTCTTTTAGAGACGATGATAAATTTGGAAGAAGAGATCGTTTTAATGGTCCAACATCAGAATTTAAAGAAAAAGAAGGTTTCAAACCAAATGTTAAATTGGAATATATCGATGATGACGGCCACGTTTTAAGTGCAAAGGAAGCTTTTCGATATCTTTCACATAAATTCCATGGAAAAGGACCAGGAAAAAACAAGGTTGAAATTTTTCGATATTTTTCTCTTTCAATTCATAGAGAATAGAAATTAAACATAGCTTTATAATTTATAGGTCGAGAAACGAATGAAAAAAGCAGAACAAGAAGTTTTAATGAAGCGAATGTCTTCTACAGATACACCTTTAGGAACACTTAATTTATTACAAGCAAAACAGAAAGAAACTCAATCTCCATATATAGTACTCAGTGGAAGCAAACAAATGCAAACGTAAAAAAATTTAATATTATTTCAATAATTATCAAAAAATATTTCTTAAAATTTATGATTAATTTTTTTTTTTCAGGACTAGTATATCAAAGTC